TCTGCCGTTTCCCTTCCCATCGTCTCTTTTTCCTCCTTGATTACATTCGAGCCATACGTATGTACGTAGCCCCCTATATGTACATACCTACCCGTGAATTTTCTCTTTCTCTCGTCCATGCTTTTTCTCGTATTTTCATCGTAAGGCCGAATATGTAAAAAATATGGAGAAACCCTTTCTCATTTACGAAAGCGTCCGCACTTTTTTTTTCTACTCTTTTTTCCCCCCAACTCCCCTCACAGATCAAACTTGCTCACCAACTCCAGGGTGAAATTTAATGTTTTTTCTCCTCTCCCCGTTCATGACTTAAAAACTTTAGCTCTTTGACGAGACTCTCCCCCCCCCCCCCGTTAGAATTTTACTTTCCCTGTGACCAGCCCGATAATTCGTTTGTGCGTACCTACAGATGTGCATTTTATAGAGTCGCGGTAGTAGTAATGAGGGAAGGGAGAGGACGAGCAAGCTCCGGGAGAATATTACATTAAGTGCTCCGCGCAAGCCGGGTACTTGCAGTATACAAAAGTGGAAAAGGTATAGAGAGTGAGTTCTCGGCTCGCTGTACCTGTGCTATGTAGGTGCCATTATGCGAGACGTAGGCGGAGGCTCGGCCGTGTACGACCCAATAATCAGGTCTTGCCTGCCAGCCAGAAAGGAGTAGAAGATTCCTTCCATTTTCTCCGTCCTATTCACCCCCTGCCCCCCCCCCCCAAATGTGCTATCCACCTTTATTATTCTCGTTTCCCGGTATTCCTCTACATCGTTTTCGAGCTCGTTTACGGCCCTCCGAAGCGTATTCTTGTGAAATTTAATTATTTTACCGTCAGATGCAATAATGTCTCGGGTTTTTGTTTTTTCATCCTTATCGCGCAACAATTTCATGGAAACAGGCTATAGTGATATTATTTCCCGAATGAAACGGTGTATACGATACTTTTTTACTTTCCAAGCACTCGCTAAATAATTGGGAGGGAAAGAGATGCCCCGAGCTTTGGACCGTCTCAAACGATATCTCGATGGTATTACGTGTACCGATACGTGGGATTTAAAATTAAACGAATTTTACAAACAAGCAGACAAAGTACTTTTACGTTTTTGGGTGGCTCGTACACACACACACTATACACATTATCGTTATTGGGTATCCTTGAAAAGTAAATGCCGCTTTTTCTTTTCAGTCACCTGCTTTTAATCAGCAAATAACAAAAAGTGACGCTCTCGACTGTACGATGCATGCGTATGTGTGCGTGAATGATGCATGAACGAAGGTACGCGGGGTTCATATAGATAATATATACACATTCATTTGCAAGATACAGTAGACCTATTTTTTTTCCGTCTGGTGACGCTGCGCTCTCGCATCTTTGCTAATCCAGAGAGTAGGTATAAGGCAGGTACCAAGGTAATACCGATAATGCATCTGCGAAAAGGCGCGAAGAACCTTTTACACGTGAGCCTCGCGTTGGATGCTTAAAAAGGCAAAGCTCTCCGTACTCTCTGAACTAGATGGAAAGACGGGTACATACAATCATCTTGATTCTTTGCTTATAAAAAAAAGCATAGTTGCAATATACACTCAAATTTTCAACTTTTTATAATTTTCAATGTGTATTATCGTTTAAACTGTACATACAGATCTGGTGAAATTTAAAACAATTATTGTTGTGTAAAAGTTATCATTGAGATGTTTCCCCCATTTGTTGACCAAGTAAATTATAATATGGTAATTTGAAAAAAGAAAAAAGTAAGTATCATTTTTAGCTACTATTACTTATATGTATACATGATTGATTTCGGGACAAAACATCTAGTCATTATAATACGTCAATTTGAGGGTACGTACTACGTACGAGGTGGGGTGGACCTGTTGTGTATTATTTGCCATTGTCGTTATCAAATACACAAAGCTTGATTTGTTTCCGTACCAGCCAAAGTGGTCATTACGTGAACTGCGCCGTATAACGGGGGCCGTCGGACGCGACGCGATTCACGTGTCACGCCGCCCGACTCGGCTCTTTGCTGTTACGTCACAATAATTTATCGTTGCGCAACTTTTATCTGATAATAATAGCTGCTACCGCGACTTGACAAACGTACAAAGCTTTTTATCCCTGTCCCTTTGCGAACATGGTCGAATATGTACCTACTCATGTACTTGCACCCAAGCTCTGCATGCCACTGTATTTGGCAAATATGTAAATTATAGGTAATTGTAGACTCGAGCGAAAAAAGATGTAACAATGGATGCAATTTACGCATATACGTACAGCTGATATACTATAATGTGTATAAAGGCATTATGTGACATTATGTCTTAAAAGGTGTGCACCTTATTATACCGCGTGCCATGAGTGATGCGAGACGTGTATACGTATATATACAAGGTATGTAGGTACCTACAGTCAAAAAACAAAACAAAAAAACCTATATGTAGTCAAATACGTAAGTCACGCATACGCATGGCAGACGTGCCGCTGCACTGGGGCGGGAGGGGTGGAGTAGGTATATCACTTTGAAAGCAGAGAGATAGATAGAAAGCAAAAGAGCAATCGAGGTGCCATACCTATCTGCGGAACAAAAGGCTTTTTGGGAGGAGAGAGGAGAGAAAATAAAGGGAGCAAAGTGTGCCCGTCGAGCAACCCGGAGCAACCTGTCGATCCCGCAGACAGTATAACGGACGTTCGACAACGAGTTACACTTTCCGCGTGACGTATAGATATAGGTACGTGCAGCAGCGTCTGATCCACGTGGGAGCTTAACCTGCCCTCCGCGGCTTTTATAATACTCCCTCGGAGCGTGAAAGAGAAGCAGCTTTGCCGCTTGTTTCTCCTTCCCTCGCCCACCCTACACACACATCCACATAGACACTGTCCCTGCTGCATCCGCGTCTTCCGAGGATAATCGAGGTTGGTAGGTATTGCAAGGAAGAGGCACGTTGAAAAGGGCTGATCATATCGGATCATATCGTAGGTACGGTGATAATATTGGTGTGGGTATTTGTTACTTATACTGGTGCTCTTTTGTTGTAGGTAGAGTCACAGATGGACACCTCTTATCGCGGTGGAGCCACAGCCGCAGCCTACGGTCTTTATTTATGTTTTCCCAACTTTCAGAGTCAGCAAATAGGTGCAGGGGCAGAGGAGGAGAGAACTTTGGCGTTTCGGTGCGTTTAGATTTTTTTTTGCTTCCCCCCCCGAGTCTTAATTCGGAGGAGATAAATTCAAAGAATAAAGTCAAAGTTTGCCGGGGCAGAGCCCAACTTTTCGGACAGCCCAATTAATCGAAAACAAAGACTACTATTTGAAACCCAAACCTGGGCCGGGGGAGGGCGGGCACGAGTGGGAAGTACTGGATGTACACCTATACATCACCTACATACATAACGAGATGGTGTTGGATAAACTTCTCCCGGCTACCAGGTATACGGTGCTCTACCCACCGACTTTTCTGTCCTGCAGCCAACAAAGTACTCAAGCATCCCGCAGACTCTTACACTACTTTAAAAACAACTTTTTTTATCTTCCTCTCTTTTGTTTGTTTGTTTTTTTTTTTTTTTCTTTTTTTCCTCCACACCCCCATTACGTTGGCTTTGCTCGCCTCGTACACCCGTGGCTCGGTCATTGAGTTTATGTTGATTCTTGGCAAACTCGTTACAAGCAAAAGTGCCAATTATTTATTGAAACAAGATTTCATCGTCGTCGACTTTTTTCCAATACAGTTGTAGCGTCAGTGGTAATACCTATTAATGCTTCTTCTTTTAATACAATATTTTTTGCTTGAGCGATGCCCACAATAATTACACACGAGAGACGGGTAATACGTACGGAGGATAAGTTTTAGAGGTTCGATTAAATAAAAAGAAATGTCTGGTAATCGCAACAGATATAATAAATTGTAATTTTACAGAGGCTGATACATTTCATGAAAATAAAAACTGAACAAAAATATTCATAAAATATACAGGTACTTGAAGTGCGTTGCGCACGACAAGTGTCAAGAAATCGCATTCTCCAGTAGTTGCTGCGAAATCTGATATTATTTACACAGATAAATACTCATCTCGGAAAATTATTTTCATACGTCAAAGTAGCGCTTGCTTAGCAATTTTGTTTTTTCTTGCATTTTCATTGCTGAACAAAGTCACATCGGCGGCGCGCGCGCGCGCGCGTGTGTGTGTGTGTGCACTCGCGCAAGGTGAGTGTACCTACTCAGTTTTATACTGTATACGGGCGCATCATATTGTGTTCCAGCATTTGGAATTTTGGCACGTGCTTGCTTTCAAGTACAAATTGCCTTTGATCTTCTTAATAGTTAAAATCTTACATTGCGTTAAAAAATGGAAGGAACAAAACAGCCTACGGAGAAAAAAATTATTATTTTCAATCGAAAGTTTAAATCCATTTGAGCATCTAACGTACGTATGTGTGAACTTTCGGGTATTAGACAGAATAATTGGGTCAAGCACGTGAGCAGCACATGTTATTCATAATCTTTTCGCTATAAATGCAAATCGTTGTCAACAAAATAGTCTGGCTTCACAAGATTGATGCATGCACAAAATTTTTCTGTATTTTTGCTCCTTAATTTATTAATTGGGTATATCATACATGTCAAGAATGTTAGTGGTAATGATAATTATTGTTATTACTATTATTAATATCATAATAATATAATTGTTACTGTAGTTTAATTCAATAATTTGTAGGTATTTACAATACGCATGCCGATCATGTTTTATTTTAGCAAAACAATATCGACAATTTTTTTGCAGCACGATCAACTGAAGGCACTTTGCATTCAAGTACCTATATCGTATACGTAATATTTGTGTGCACAAGCTTTCAAACATGCCTCAAATTGAGCTTGCTGCAAAATTAAAAATATTTTCCGTCAACAAAACAAGAAAATAAAACAATAGATTAAGTACATCGAATACCAACGATATATTTATATTTATATATTTATAATAAGTACTTGGATTTTTTTTGTTCCTTGTGCTTGGCGACACTGTCTTTTTTTTATTTTTTTTTTTTTTCGGGACGGACAAAAGGCATCGATGATGTTTTTTTTTTTTACCTTTGAGTTTGCAATACTTCAGCCAAAATCCGTCGCCTCCAACGAACTATTTTCTCGAAATGATTTTTTGTCCCGCCCCACCCGCACTTTTAATGAAATTTCCGTTGATGCAATTGTTGTTGTTCCTGAATACGAACGACCGCTTTACATAAGCTTACAACACTCGTAATGTTGTGAAAAATTATAGAAATAGTTTTGTTTTAGTTTCAAAATATGTACTTTCGGTTGAGCTGCATTTTTAAGAATCGCGAGACGGGTCAAGCGGCTTATTTTAGATTCTCTCGGACTACGATAATATATTTTAAGTAAGCCACTCGAGTAAAAAAAAGTAGTGGTGTGCGATCAGTTATGTTTATACGAATAGGCGCCTCGTTCAGATTTTTTTAAAAAACTTTTCAGCACATTACTCGCATCGAAACACGTTTTCAGTCATATTTAGCGCCAAATCTTTTAAAGCTTTTCTATTTTTTTTTTTTTCTTTGATGTGTGTGAAATATCTTTTAATTTATGTAATCCTGAATATCTTAGCTCACATAGTTCTTTTGCTTCTTGTTATAAATACCTCAAATCTTTCTTATTTACAAAATTAATTAAAAAACGTATTATACGGTGTAATTATTTGATCTGGTAAAAAATACCGACAAACTCAATTCTCATCTTCTGTACAAACACATGATAAATATTTGAAAAAATCATCCTTAAAATTGACTAAACTGTATCGAGAGTTGAGAGAAAACGAATGAGATGCAAGACTCGGCCCGTGAAAAAAAATTACCGATACGGTTCTCTTATTATTAACGTTCTTTCGTGGTACGTATAATACTTTCGCTTTCATGCACATACGCGGCTTTACATAGTAATAGTCGCGCTCATGTTACCCATTATACATCCCAACATCATCCATCTGCACTATGACTGTACAATAATTTTTTCTTTTGTTAGCTGCACCTACTATGCATTTTTAAGTTATATTTTTTTCGCGTCTTTAGAGAAGAATACCAATTTAATAATAACCAACAATAATTGTGTGAGAGAACATATTGATACTGCTACATCTCTGTAATGTCTATGTCGATTAATTTTCATAATAATAATAATAATGGTAATGATGTTGTAGTGAGGAGTTAATCGACAACCAGACTCATTTTTAACTACATTTCAATATTCTTTTTAACTAAGCATGTACAATACTATATCCATTTATTCTTCGTCTCAAGGTAAATCACATTTAACCTGTCTCTCAGATGTTGCATACTAATTTGACATTTTTAATGCTGGGCTCGGAGAAATTCAACTACTAAAAAAAGTTCATTAAATATTTGTATCGTAAAACAAAGAAAACTTTGTACTCCGATTTGGTTTAAAATAACTTTATCATTCCCGGGCAGTCTGACAATCTCATACATCTTGACTTGAAGGGACATTACGATCCTGTTAATAATTATTCTATTTGTTCCAAATGTCATATTTACAGTTACAGTAGCCGAGTCCCCGCGAATCATAAGTACTGACCAATTCAGCATATCACAGATCTTGTCCGATATATTCAACGAATACTTATATTTTTTCTTTTTTTTTCATCGTACTTTATGCACGAATGTATGTGTATTTGCTCATACAACACACGTCGTTCGAAATTGTATTTTCCTAGTAAAGATAAAAGTGCCATAACTTTCTCTTTTTCAACAATATTCACGCTATATTTATTTATTATATATGTCGTAGCTTTTGTGATAATGTTGTTAAATTTGGTGCAGTAGAAGTTCATCGGTGCGTGTTAATTTTTGCGCATCATGCAAAGAACGACAATAATTGAGCTCAAGTTAGTAGTCTCGAGCTTATACGTAAGTCAGACTATATAATTAAGTTTATTGCAGCTTTTCAAGTGTATATTATTATTATTATTATTATTATTATTATTATTATTATTACTATTATTACTATTATATGTAACCGTTAGCTAAGTTTGTGGCAATAGCATTATTACAATTGTATATTAATAATATACCTCGCATGAAGCCAGCGAGAGTGGGTCCACGACGAAAGTAAGTTAATAGTTGCGCGTCTGCAGATCATCGAGGCTGGTGCGGCGCGTCAAATTAATATTTGATAACAAACTCAAACGATATTTACAATAAGCCATTTGAATGAATGGCACGCTCTAAATACTCATATCTCTCTCTCTACCTTGTACGCCATCTGTTCGAATATCTACACGGTAGAATCATCGTAATACTTGTCTTGCGTGGTATGTATATAAATAACACTGGATCCATAAATAGGTATGTGCCGTTTAGTTACACCCGCGGTAACTCTAAACTAAACTTTTTTACAAATGTAACAAGTTTTTTCAATATACGCTTTCGCCATAGATAATAATACTACACAGATATCATATATATATATGTATGTATATATATAAGCCGTGAGCTCCTAAAATCTGGGCAAACAAGAGGGTCGTTGCCGTGAGTAAGTAACTTTATTGCCAAGCATCATGAATTCAGCCACTATTGCTGTACTATTCCATCGACGCTCAAGTCAACGAATTCCCGGCAAGTGAATCTTGCAATGCGGAGCACCTCAACTGTCCGTTGAAAATACGCGCGTGTCCCTGAGCTGCTCCTCCTCCTCTGGCTATAATTGCACCTAAGACATTTGGAAAAAAAAAAAAAAAACATTGGTAAGATAAGTACGTGATTGCAGTGGATTGGTAAGCCCAAGTTGTGGCGAGTATTGGTGGCAAACCGACCTGAAAAGCTTGCGTGGTGTTGGGAAGCATGACGAAAGGATTGGTGGTCGGGGTCTGTCTGCGCGCTACCGTGTCTGCCCAAGCCGCGTCGAAGGGATCGGCGGGTCCTTGCCTCGCAGGAGTCGGTGCCTTTGTCGCCGAGCCGAGGCTCATCGCCCTGGCGTGCAGAGGTGGGGCCCTACGTGGCGCTATCGGCGGGGGAACCGACGACAATTTGGCCGCGGTTGGGGCGCCAGCCAGCCACCGATCCGCGGCCCTTGGAACCTCCGGCTTGTTGGGTTGTACCGGCTGCACCTTAAACATACCCACGTTTTGCAAAATTAAGTTACCGGCACGCATCGATCGATATGATGTAATCCAATGTTGAGGGTACAATGTAATTAGTTATTATTATTATTATTATTATCATGGACTAACCTCGGCTACGGGTATCGCGGACGAGATGGCCGGCGTGGGAATGGCATCGGTGGCCACCGACATCTCGGAGCTACTGCTGCTAGTGCTGCTGCCCTGAAGAACCGAGGTTGGCAGCGGGGGTGGGACCGGCACGGGCGACCTACTGGCGAACTGATGATGATGGCCAGTGCTGCCGAGAGACGAGGAGTTCGAGGTCGTGCTGAAGACAGGACTCGCCGCGGGCGTGTCGAAGATCGAGGGAATGGCGCAACTGTTGACCGTGGCCGTGGCGGCGCTGCCACTGCCGTGCGGCATGACGGGGCTCAGCGAGGGACAGCACTGGTTCAAGATTGGTGTCAGCCTAGGGTTCACCGACGACACGGTGCTCGACGAACTATCCTGCCAGCTCTGGCCGTCGCTGCTCAACGGGTTGCTCTCCTCTATGAGGTTGTTGTTATGCTGATGATGGCCCCCTGTGCTACTGTTGCCGTTGCCGTTGTGATTGCTGTGATTGCTGTTGCTGTTGTTGTTGTTATTATTGTTGTTGTTGTTGTTGTTGCTGCTGTTGTTATTGTTGTTGTTGATGATGCTTCTGCTAGGAATGATATCGCCGAAACCGTTCTGCAGCATCTTTAGGTTGTCGAGGGAGTTGCTGCTGGTTATGCCGGTAACTAGAGGTGAAAAAAAAAAAAAAAAAAAAAAAAAAAAAAATTGCTTTAAATTGTGCTTGTTTACCGATACAACAGTATATCGACAATGGAAAACAACAAGCGTCACGTAACGGAGCGACGGAGGAAACGCGCGACTCGAGTGGATGANAAAAAAAAAAAAAAAAGTGTGAGTACTTGGTCGTCGAGTACAGCGAGGGATATTGTTCAAGAGCGAGTATAAGTATACGTACCTCCAGGAATGATGGTGGTCGTCGTCGTCGTTGTCGTCGAGTCGAGCTTGTTGACGACGGTGGTCGTCGTTTTTATGACCGAGGAGCTAAAGTCGTCGCTGGAGAGCAGCGAGAGGTCGCGCGTCACCTGCTGACACAACGCCAACACGCTGTCTTGGCCGCTCGGCGATATCTCCGGGATTGGGCTCACTGTATCAGATGGACGATGATCGACAATATTTTTAAAATTACGTAAGTGAACGAGGTATTGTATCAACTTTTTTGTTTTTTTTTGTTATAGGTTTAGAGATGTCTTGCATTTCGTACAATTAGCAAAAGTAGTTAGGTACGTTATTTCATGCATTCAACTTTTTTTTTTTGTACGATCACACACACGGGTAATTCAGGCCATTTTAATTGTTACTGTTTAAAATGACCACTTAAGGTTAGTCTAAATTCATACAATAGGCATCGTAAAATTCATCAACTACTTAATAGCCAAATGCTCGTTTTGTTCTTTTCTCTTCTCAAATGCATATCTAATGAAAACTACTATCATAATCATCACCTTCTATGTTATACATCATCGATAAAGCGAACGGTTGAGGAGTCAGACACTAATTTGGTCAAGAATTTATTAGAACTTATATTTTTTATTATTTTTACTCATGATCGTTCGTCATTGCTCATCACGAAAATTGTTTTTTTTTTTTTTTTTTTTTATTCAACAAATTTCATTGATGCTATTTAAGCACAAGCAGAAAAGATGAAAGTTAGTAGTGACAACAGGTGTACACTCGAAAAGTCGAGAGGGAGCCAAGTACATACACACGTAAGATAATTGTATAGAGTACGCGCAATGATGCAATGATTATCGTGTGAGTAGCAAAAGTGAGTACAGCGACCTTGGTTGTATCCCTTTGTACTCTGTTGCCAAGAAAAGTAAAAGTTGCCATGAAAGAGACGGAGGAAAAGCAAGCTCACCGGGTGGCTTGATGGGCATGGGCAGGCGCGCCAAGTCCGTGGGCTCGAGGCTGTGGCTCCTGACGCGCTCGTAGTTACTGGGAAGGTCGTTGACGCGCAAGCTCAGTTGGCGCTTGAAGGGCGAGGCGTGGTTGAGCTGGTCGAAGCCCCGGAAGGAGCCCTGACGCTCGAGCATCGACGGCGTCGCGTGGGGCCTCTCGATCGCGTACGGATTGTGCACTTGCCGCGACGGTGGAACGTCTACGTGCGATGATCATGATCATTATAGGCTATTATTGATGGGTCAAAGGTAATGCCGGGATAGTAATTGTTTGACCGACCGATCGCGCGCTCCTGGGGGTCCTGCATGCGCTCGGTGAGGCTGGGCTGGCGGAAACTACCGGTCCGCGTGAACGTCGAGGTCCGCTGGTCGAACGTCATCGTGACCCCGCACTCCTGGTCCCTGCGCTGCTTTCTCTCCAGGCAAGCCGCGAAGGCGCACCCGACCGCGTGGCTCAGCCTGTCACCCTGACGCGGACAGAGGTGGGTACACATCAGGCAAACGTTTCGACACGGTATAACCCCGCTGTTGATACTTACGGACTCTTTGACGGCCAGGAAGCCGTGGCACATCCATCGCCTGGTCGTGCCGTCCCTGCATATGTAGCTGAATCCCTTTTCGCAGTTGCGGTCCGGTGCGCAAAAGGACACCTTTTCGATCGTCTGGTCGACTATCAGGTCCTTCGTCTCGTCGTCGACCACCCTGAGCCCATCCCCGGAAACGTGCAGAACAGCTCGGATCGGCCTTCTCTTCGAGCTCTGAAAATCATCGCGATGTTGTTGCTGCCGTTACTTATTTCTTTTTTCTTTTTTTCCTCATTTGAATCGCCGACAAGACGGCTACTACTTTTTCAGTTTTACTTACCCTTAGCGTTTTCAGAGCCTCCTCGCACGTTTGCATCCCCCTGGATTCGAACACTTCGGTGCATCCCAAGTACTGAAAAGCAACAACGTTTTGACGCGTTATTTCAATTGATTGTCGCGACTCAGTGGGTACACGAGAGTTGGTGCATCGCGGATTGATTTGGTTGGATGGGACGGTAGGGAGAAAAATACGCATGTAAGAGGCACAGCGTCTACATAGATACTTTGCACAAGGGCATGGGAGGAAAGAGGAGGAGCAACACTTGTTATTATTATTATTATTATTTTGGACGATTGCATGCAAGCGGACAAGAGGAAGGCTAGTGTATTGTTCATTGTTATTGTGATTGTATCGTTTAGTTATTCCCTACCTTGACTTGGAAGGCGCAGTTGCCCGAGCGCACCGCGCTCTCGTCCGCTTGCCACTGATGGGGCCTGCTGGCCTCCGGCGAAGTCGGCTCCCTCCGCCGGCGGAAGCTGTCCCGAAAGCTCCTCCGCAATCGGTCCATCCTCTTGTTCGGCGATCGCTCGCGCTTCTGAAATCACAGTTTTTTTGCCAACACATTAAAACCAAGCACGTACCAATCCAATCATACAAGCATATGATTTATTTATACACGTACACGGAGGTTGTAGGGGGTAACCTCTATCTCCCCTACCCTCGTTTTATTAGACATTATACGCATAATATCTCAACTACGGTCCATCGATCGAGCACAAAAAAGTATATCTAATTGTATGATACCCACCTAAGCTTATACAAAGAACAACATCGTCTGGCGGCATGGTAATATTTTCAAGTTCTAAATACGAAACAGGCGCAAAAGAAAAACAGACCGCAACCTTGTAGCATGACGCTCAGATTGCCAGTTGAGAAAAAGAGAGAGCCGTTAATTTGTTAGGTCATGATCTTAACAGATGTTCATTCTGCATAGGTGTGGGTGTATACGCCTTTAGTACAACATGTCTACTGTTAAGTTTTTTTCTTTTTTTTTTTACTAGACTGAAACTTGGGAAAACATTTTCCAACTCGCGATTCAAGTCCTGATGTTGTTGAATGTACTCTGCACTAATGGTAAAAAAAAATTTTTTTTTTCTTTTCAAATATCGGGACAACGTATTTTTTAAATGATTTCTTAGCTCGTTTTTAAAACGTACTTTGTAATTTTTTTGCAAACTCCGCAGTGATTTGTTTGAAAACAGATAAAGTTAATTTCGAGAGCTTTTGGACAAGCTGTTAACAATATTTTTTTTACTAAAATAAACGAAAGAAACTTAAATCTTCACCTTTGAATTTTGAAAATTAAAAATAAATTTTTGCTACAACTAAAACAAGTCACATATTTACATATAAATATATCAATAGCTATATATATATATATATATCATATCTGCTGTACATTGTGAGCTCGAGGGATGACTCGGGCAATCGGCGCTCATTGGCACGCCACGTCAAAATACGTACATCTCACAGTTAATATATCGCGTAGATATGAATATAGATTTTTTTTTTTTAATATTATAGTGCTCTACGTCCGGCTCCTTATAAAGGGCACTACACAGGGCACTTAGCACTTGGGGAAAGGGACAAGGAAAGGGATAGGAGGCCTCACATTACTGGGCGGGGGGTAGGGGGAAATAAGGCAATTTTGCTGCGAGAAGGTCGCCTAAACCCTCCTCGAGGAGCATTGCGTGGTGAAAAAGCACATGCGAAAAATCACAGAGGTATTTGCCCGAAAAATCGCACTGACCGGGAATCGAACCACGGTCTCCCGCGTGTCAATCCACGACCTAGCCGACCGAGCCACCGCGCGCTCTATGAATATAGATGTTATACATTCAGCTATAGAGTTGATATCCATACACATTGGGCCAATGATTGTCAACGCGTTGTGAACTTACAACACGTACTTGGCACATTGTATCAAGTATACATGGTACATCCCATATGAATCGGATATGGAAAAAAAAAAAAAAAAAAAGGTTAGTATAAATAGCTCTTGTAGTAGTTGAATTTGGTAGTCGTATCGTGGAGGAAAGGGAATTGCGGTGGAAGAATATATACATGTAAGTCATACGAAAGGAAGAAGGAAAAAAAAAGAGGCAGGGGGAATACAAGATTGGTTCATGCAGGAGATACCTATACGAGGAGGGGAGCTCGAGAACTCGGGGTAGTTAGCTACGGTCACAGTATCAGCATCCCCCAAATTATATATAGAGGTACACGTGTGTGTGTATATATATGTAACGCAAGGAGCTCAAAAGACTCCGTCGTCAAATGTGTGATCAAATCTTTCCGCTGGTTCCCAAAGACCGCTTCTCTCTCTCTTTCTCTGCTAGCCGCACCCTACATAATGCTACTACATGCGTGTGAGTATAGGTACCCGTCTGTAGATAATAGATATGCGTATACGCGCACATGTGTTGGGCTTACAGCTTGGCTCCCCTGTCTCTCGATTGTCGCGTAAACTGATGCTCTTTGGCTTTTATTTCTCGCGATACCGTTCGTGCGATCTCTGCACCCCAATGTTATATATACGCAGAGGACACGTTTCTCGAGGCCCTGCTATTATCCTGCCAGGGGGGCGCGCGGCGAGAATTTTTTTCAAATTGAGTATACATGTACACTTATTCCGATCGACGACGGACTGTCAAGTCCAATAGGAGCAATCAACCTCCTGTACAACCTCAAATGTAAGTACCTAACTTACGCTTGGTAGGTGTAACGCCGAATGTACATAATATAATATTTATGTATACGCGTATACCCAATGCCGCAACCTGAACGTGTGTGTAGGCATGCCTACGCCTGGCGATGACTTTGTGTCTCTGTTCATTGCACCGCCCACTCTCTCGTGCGGATTTTTTTATTTTATACGAAACACTGGAACAGTGGACATGCCTCAAGATTTTAATGAATAACACGTGGGCAGTCCTTCGAGTCGCTTTTTTTTAACAAAAATTATCATTACGACAACTGTAGTAATATTGTTATTGTAATAGGTATACATATACGTGGCAGGACTCCTCCTCGACCATGGACGCACTATCGTGACATAAACGTGTGACCCACGCCTCTGAGAAAACAATTACATCATCATTACGAGAAAATGGTATTGTTGCAGCCAAGAAAAACGTTTCGGTTAGATGGCTCCGCGTGTATAAGTACATAAACAGGTCTAGGCATGCTTGTACGCATACAATTCGCCGTCCTCATTTTTTTTTTTTTTTTTTATCTATGTTGTCTGCAACTCATGACGTGATATCCTCTCAGAATAGTACGTAATTTCTGGTCGACACACGCACATTTAATCCTACCATGTATCGAGTATATTTATATATGCGCGGTTTTTATTTATAATTATGACGAGGCTTACGTAAAAACGCTATTAGTCCCATTTTTTAGTATCAAGACGTCAGAATGTAACAAAAACCTTACTGAAAAAAAGTGTACACAGTGAAGGGGAACTAAGTGGGCGGTGAGGAAAATTAGCGGTCGGTTAGTATTAGAAATATATCTCGACACTAGATAAGCACTTTTTTTCTCTTGAATATATATGTAAGTGAGGCTAGTTTTTATATAAATTCGGTATTACTTCACACCTTCGAATCATTTTTTGTAAATCATACAAGATGCAAGCAAACATACCCTTTACTGAATATCCCGTACATAAAATATAACATGATTTTCAACAAGTATCTACTTCGCTGGATTACTAAATTATACATGGTCAAGTGCTCGGTCCTCTTATCGACACATGGAATTTTTCATGTTTAAGTGTACTTATTTTTTACCAAATATGAGCAAATTTTCCGTCTTTAACAGTTAATAAAAAAATAAGTAAAGTATGAGTATAATGATAAAGACAAGAAAGAGGCATCAATATTAATTTACTAATACATCTTATTTGACGATTCCAAGGTGTCTTTTCTCGTAAAATATTCGTAAATAAACTGTTAAATAAATATTGGAGTTGAGTATATTAATCTTTGAAAGGGTACCCTTCGATAAAAAAATTTTTACCATGTAATTACTACACATATTCTTCAGTATTAAATTTTTCACGATAGTTACCGAACGACGTGTACATATAGAAATTATATTTACATGGAAGTAAATATAACTTTAAAAGTTAAAGGTATGTCGAGTTGCTCTAGACGTAACAATGATAAATGGCAGTGAAGTCGAACTAAATTTGAAAAACTGACTTATCACGGAACCTATGGACTCTTAAACTTTTTATTTAATGAAATTCACAAAATTGCTACCGTTCTTTTAATCATTTATAAATCTTCCAAAATTATTGAGTCTTAGGCTTATTTTGCTCTTTGAAAAAATTGCCCACAATATCAGTAAGCTGCATTAAAAGAAATGTGTTCGGTATTTAGCTATATCTGATTCTTTGATGCTAACAAGTATTAAATAATTGTCTTCCAACCGGAGCTTTTGACCAACTAATTAATTCAAAAATTCATTTTAACAAGTTGGATGGGTTATTATCCCACTAGCCCGTATAAAAATGATGTATGAAATCGGTTGTACAAAAACTTGATAAAACTGAAGTACAAAATTGAAATGAAATTTGTACAAACTATTTTTTTATAAATTATTATTTCAGAAAAATTAAGTTAAATGAATATTGTATGCATCATGCCATGATGTAAAAAATCAAGTAAATTTGTAAAATTATTAGTTTAAATTTTACGAGTATTTATAATTTATGTGGTATGAATATTATTCTACATAAAAAATCCCTTGATTAAATAAAAAAAAAGTCTGTGAGGGTATTAATATAACTGTCAAGCGATTGTCGCACGTGGAGCAGAAATTTGTAAATTCATCATTCGTCAGATGAGAGAATCTCCTTACCTCCTCGCAGTATTCGACATGTATCACATCTTCCGTAACAATGGTGTAAAAAAAGGATGCGTATATAATAATTATACATATAGATCTGTGAGAAAAATGCGATCAAGTTGTGAACAAAAAGCATCTGGTCGAGCCATATGGATATATATATATATATATATATATATATATATATACACGGCTGTACTCGATATTAGATACAACGTGCAATAATACAAAAGTGCGAAAGAATAAAGGGGAGGGAGCAGCATGCGAGAGAGCGGTAGTAGCGTATCTTCTTAATAGTTTAAACGTGCGCAAGTAAGCGCAATCGGATTAAGTTCTATACATATACGATGTATTGACCAGCCACGCGGCACACGCGCCACACGTTAATATATATACATCCATATGTACCTATACATTATTACAGGATAAAGGCAGCCGTGCAGACAGAGAATATTGATGCGCGTACGCAAAGCATCAGAGGTTGGCCTGTGGTATGTACGTTGTACACCGCGCGAACTCATGGCCGTCGGTGCAGGCTTCCTCCTCCGCGCGCACTATGATAATCGAATAATAAAATTATTGATGAATCCAATCGGGGATCGCGCCTGGCCACTCTCGCATCTTTAGACGGTATATTATTATACTCTCGGCTGCGAGCACATGCAAGCTTCACGTCTG